CGTCCCCCCCCCCCCCAGGGCAGCCGTCCATAGGGGTGAGGCTGGGGATGCAGCAAGCTTCTGTTTGAAGTGAATAGTGAAGGGTTGCAGGCTTGGGAAAGGCAGCCTGTCACACTCTGACGTCATTCTCTTTTGTAGCCACCCTTTGATGGAGAAGACGAGGAGGAGCTGTTTCAAGCCATCATGGAACAAACGGTCACCTATCCCAAGTCACTCTCCCGGGAAGCTGTGGCCATCTGCAAGGGGGTGAGAGCCCCCACTCCCAGCTTCGTCAGACCCATACACCCCGGCTGCCATCTCTCTTAGAAAAAGTTTCCTATCACTCAAACCTCTTTGTGGCCATCTGCTGCGAAAGTCAGTTGAGCAATATTCTGTCATCCCAGACCAAGGGTGTCTTCTACCATCCTCTGCCACACCCATATCCTGGCATACTGCAGGGAATGCCAAAATGCCTTTGCAGAGCTGCATGGGTCAGGCTACCTCCAATTCCTGGGACTTTTATTCTTTAGGGAATCTTGATGAGTCGCAAAACTGTAAGCTTCAGTTTCTTCTTCCTCAGTTGGTGCAGAAGAAAGTGCCTGGCCTATAGGAGACCTTCTAATTTAGCTTTCCCCCAGCTATCTCTCCCTCTCTCTCCTTCCTCTCTCTCTCTCTCTCTCTCTCTCTCTCTCGTCCTTTAGGATTTAACATAGGACGAACAGGAACTTACAATTCGATACCTATAAACAAACCTGGCTGTCCTGGCACTCGCTCTGGAGACCAGGCTGGCCTTGAACTCACAGAGACCCGCCTGCTCTGCCTCCCGAGTGCTGGGACTAAAGGCGTGCGCCATCAGCACCCGGTGATTTTTAAGGCATTTTAAATTGTAATTTTTAAAAATCTGTTGATTTTGTTTGTGCGAGCGTGCATGTGCGCACAAGCATGGCATAGCACACACGAGGAGTTCAGAGAACTATTTGAGGGAGTCATTTTCCCCCCTTCCATCTTGTGGGTCCTAGGGATCCAACTCGGGTCATCTATCGGG